TAAAAAGATGACTGTAACAGCCTCAAGATAATTGAACATTTCTTCAACCACCAAATAGTTAAGCTTTGATATTTGATTACTACAAACAGCTGACTCAATCCGATAAAAATTTATGCAAAATCACTTCTGTAATGGCTAATTAGAAAGTAGACAAAGTATTCAGTGAATATTGAAAGTTAATTTAGATTTTGTCTGACTTGTGGAGAGAGCTACACGAATTAGTTGGAGTAATTAAAAAATTAGCATTACGAAAGAAATACATTTATGTATTATACTTCTTCATGTAGTTTTCTTCCGTTTTTACATAAAATTGACTTTACAATGCTTTCTTTTTACTACAGTTCTTAAATTCCACACATTTTCTAGAAGCTATCAGTCTGATTTTGATTGAAATCTATGTGCCTGAAGTTTTATTTTTTGACATAATCAATTCAATAAATGTAGATTTTTTTAGCAAAACACTTCTGTTCAATGTTAAACGACAGTTCTTACCTTCTGAAATCAGAACAAGTGCATGAACGGTATTTTAAATTATCTATCTACTTAACTAACCACCCGCACATTCAAGTTTATTTTGCACATACATAGTCAACGATTAATGTGCTTATTATTCATCTAATCTTTGACACAAAGCATCCTACACAGTTTTAATCTTCTCTCACACGTGTAGGTGATTGTGTTAGACACTACAGTGCACATGATTCAAACTGAAATGAACTGGAAAATCATAACTAAGTCACCTTTACCTTACAATAACATATGATTTATGATGTGTTGAAATATTTGAATCATAAAACGCATTTTCAATAAAATTAACCAAATGCTAATTACTGGAATTGTTTGAAAAAAATATTATTGTTAACTCTTTTCGGTAGTAAAAACGAACTTGATCAGTAAACGTCTTGTTTAGATTGGTATGCCAGGCTACATAAGAGTCTTTTCTTTTCATATGATTTCTGTCTTCGGTAGTTACTGTCTACATCCGAACAGGTTGAACTTCACTGCTCACTACCTTCCACTAGAACTCGGAGAAGATTCCTCACGAAACTAGTCACTAGTGAGAACAGGTAATTGGATTATGGGGTTGTGAAGATTGTTAAGTTACACATTTGAAATCATGAATGTATCAAAGTCAGACCACCATTAGAAACCTGGAAGCATTGTTCGAACGAATTTCTCAGTTGGTAATGATTAGTCAGTCAGACATTTTTTTGATGAAACAGTAGGAATATATTATTTGTTTAGTAAAACTTTAAGTAAGTATAGTCAATTAAATAATGTTATAAACATCAACCATTGAATTTCAATTCAGTGATTCAAATATTGTCTTTCTCACCAGATCGAGTGGATTTGATCCGATGAAGAGCCACCGGTGTACAATACTATAGGAGGATTTTATAATCGAAGAAAAATATATTCAGGGATGTTAATTTTTCATTAGTGTTATATGGCCAATTTGATTTCATGGTTTAGCCTAACGACATAAGTAATTATTTGTATATTTCCTAAATGTAACCTTAGTTTGACTAACCCTCAAGTTAGCATTTTATAAGCCGTTTATAATATGATTAGTAACTATATTACAGTATTCAGAAAGTCACTTTTTTTTATATCTTGGTTGAAATGAGTTCAATGTAATCAGTTTTAGATAATGCGTTATAGAATATATAACTGCTGGGAATTTAGCTTAGAATAATCATGGGACAGATAAAGTGTTCCAGATTGGTTCCAATTTTCAAACTATAGTATGTATGGTGTAAAAAGTAATTCTCAAACTGTAGATAATGTCACTTGAAAAATTCAATGACTACTGACTTAAATTTAAGTGGTCCGAGATCTGACTCTAATTTTTAGAAAGCATTAAACATGCTATGAGATGAATTTTCCCATTAATTTCTGTGAATCGATTATATTTAAGATAGTAAATCTTAGATCGTTAAAAATAACACAATACTCAAGAACTTTGTAAAATGCACCAAGATTTATCTATTCAAATGCTGGAAATCACTAATCTTGTCAATAATTGGAAATCGAGATAAACTTGCATGGGTTTTAAAATGAGAAACATTTATTAACGTTTCAGAGGAAAATGGTAGAAAACAAGCAGATTTCGAATCCACTAATTTCTCAAAGTATCTTGAAAGTATTTCAGATTTGAATGTTAACGACTATTTGTATTATAACTCATAAATTTAAATATAGATGATTCTCCAGCTCGAACCCTAATCATTTCTCATCTATCATAAGAGATACTGAACAGAACTTATGGTAGGTTGAGTTAACAGAACTACCCTTCAGGAAAAAATCGTCTTTATTTCATTGTATTATTGTTATCATTCGACTCTTAGATTCTATTTTATAGTTCTCCTGGTTCTAAGCTTGTCTAATCTATTATTATCGATCTAATTACACAGAACCTAATATAGTTCAACTATCTGTTCAGTTTACTTTTGAATCAATAATTCAAAAAGTAAAGAACCATTGGTTACTTTTAAACTATTTATCCATTGTAGCTTAATTATAAATTATCTTATTACTAAACTCTATTTTTAATTGGCTGATAAGTTGCCCGAGGTTGCATGTACAGATTCATTCTAACGGGCTATTTAGTAAAAAGTTGTTTCTCAGGTGATGAGAGTCAGAAAAACACTTTAACATATTCTGAATATAGTGTGGCGATAAAGTGTTGAGTGTACATAGAGTAGATAGGATGTAGCTAGTAGTAAAATCCGGGACGTACGTTTTGTTCAGATTGAGGCTTGTCAGATGGATATACCTGTAGCGTATAGATAGTGCTTGTGCTCCAGACTCGAACTTTGGACAGTTTGCTTCAAACTATATTTCAGTGTGATATTGAGATGTAGTAACAGTTTGTTTATTAGGTTATTTATGTTCGTAATCTTCTATTAAGGTACTCACGTACGTGTGAATGATTCGGCTTTTGTTCTTTGGCTGTACTAGTACATGAATTTGTTCTCCCTCTCTTCGCATGTGTATATGTACAAATAATATGCCTATTTAGCGATTTTCAAATCACTTTTGCTGAATAATTTGATTGTTATTTCAGCGATTTATATCGACGTATTTACATGAATCGGTGTGTCATTTTAATACTCAACCTATTTTAGTGAACAAGTTCTAAAACATTTTCACTTTTCGTCTTTGTGACTTTTTCAGCAAAGCGTTAAACACAGAGATTTTGTATCCAACAAAAGTAAACGCCTAAAATGTAGGGGATGTCATGGAAATAAATAACTGACATCAAGTGATTTTCAAATTAGCTTAGGAATAGTCAAATTCAAGGTCAAACCCACTTACGACGTTGAATCGATAGATTACGAAAATTTAAAAGATAGATGACTGACGTGACTAAAAAAATGATTTCATCAGTTAAATGCTACTACTATTCAGCATCAGATGATCAAATTTAGGCTATTCAGTTGTAACCGTTAACTGCAGTGCATTGTGATAACTCAACAATCACCTAAGCGATAAGATTCTATAAACACCGTGTGCTGGATAGCATGTAGTCGGCCACACTGAGATAATTAATGCAACGCATAAGCAAAATATTGTTAAATGTAGTTGTTTTATGCCTTCTTTTTTTACTAATGCATAATTATTTTAGTTATTAAATCATATGATGATTAATGTAATTTTTACTTTCAGTTATCATGCTTCACACTTAAAATTTATTTTATATTAATTAACAATTTCCTTAAGAAAGAAATCAGCGCACATGACATTATTCATGAATAATCAGCAGTCATTAATTGACAATAAATTTTGATACGATCAGAAAGCAAAGTGGAATCATAACGTTATTGTTTAGTATGGTTTATCGTATGTATTCATAGAATTATAAGATTATGAATAGGGATACCTTCTTATCAGTCAGTCAGTCAGATGCAACGTAGAACATCGTACCTACGTACATAAGTTCATGTTGCCATACCACATTAGCACAGACACGCAAATGTCAAATCAAATCCCATAGTGATAAAGATAGTAGAGGTATTAATGGTTTGAAGATATTATTCAAGAAGTATAATTCAGTGAGATTAGGTTAGAAAGACAAAGGTAGGGGTGCTGACGAATCCAGAAGATTAGGATTTGAGAGAGCATAATGAATGGATACACTTGCGCCATTGCAAACGATTTTGAACCATGTCGTTCAAGTTCTCTGAACATTGGTGACTTTCGTCTCGCGGAACCCAACCAGGTAGTCTACATCTACCAACATGACTCAGTCCACTTGTCAGTGACTTCATGGATTTCTGCCATTTTGGTTTGGCCGCCCCTATCTTTCTTCCAACCTACTCCTACACCACAAAACATAGTTCGTCGAGGCAGTCAGTGGTTAGGCATTCGTAACACATATCCCAACCACCTCAACTGATGGATTTTCACCACTTCATCTACTGATCTACCAACCTTACCTAGTACTCGTTTCCTAATAACCGCATTGCTTACTCGGTTGTCCACGATATACGGGCAATGCTTCTAAGACATCTATGATCGAATACTAGTAACCTAAGAACACCTTATACTCTTAACTGCCATGTTTCGCATCCATATAGGAGAACGGAGCGAACTGTTGAGCAGTACACTCGTCCTTTGGTTAGCGGGCGGAGTCAAATGCCGCTTTTAGATCCAGGAACACAACTATTGTCGGACGTCTAAATGTGTGTCTGTGTTCCAGGACCTGTCGTAGTGTGAAGATGTGGTCTATGCAGCCACGTCTTCTTATAACTGGGCTTCGATCTTTGTAGTAATATAGTGAATTACGCACGAAGCAAGTAAGGTTTTTAATTTGTTACAGCAACATTATCTAAGGGTTAATCATAATTATGACTATGAACAAGACTGTGCGGTGATAATTCTTTATTTAAATTATCGAAACTTCAACGTATGTTGTTGATTTAAATCTCACTACATATGGTTTACGTTGATCAGTAGAGTAGTTTTATCATATTACACAATGAATGTGTGATTCAGAGGCGATTACAGAAATTTATATATTTCATTACAGATTTATTTGATATTACTTGATATGATGAAATAAGGACTATCGAAATGGCTGTTTAACTAATCATTAGTTAAATTATCCATTGACTTATATCGCTTTCTTTATCATGAATTAGTATAGTAATTATGAAAGAAGAAATTATATAATTGACAGAAGCTATTTGTTTTCATAAGGAAGTAATTTACAGATTGATCTTTACACAAATCGGTTTCCTGAATTTTAAATGAAAACAACTCTTTCATAGAGTGTTTTGATGAGTTGTTTTTTTTTAAAAAAAAGAGGTGTAAAATTAATGAAAATAATTCAATTATCAAAACAAAAACACCATTCACAGGTATTAGAAAAGTAGTAGCAATAAGCAAAGTAATCAAATAATGCGTAAAATAATCTTTATTTTATTTTTGCGCATTGATCGAATTTCGCCATGTTTTAAAAAGATCGTTTTCTTTTGAGTTGTTTTATCTGGAAATGAAAATAAATAAACATTAATTAATAGCCGGATAATTGAATATATATATATATATATTATTAGTGAAGTTAAAACATCAGATAAGATTTTATGAAGAATGTGATTTTTAAAGTTCTCTGCGGAAGTCGTATTACCTGAATATCATACATAAAACAATAAATGCAAGCAAAAAAATTTTCAGAGTACATTTGAACGACCTATATAAGTCAATAATGTTTGTGTTTCATCAACTTTTGCTATAAATAAGTGTATTTTGTCTATGGGAGATCAATAATACATCATCATATGTATGATAATAACAGTGGCTAAACTACAGTGGATTAAGTAAAAAAAGCTATTATTAATAATAAATATATGCATATAATCGGTATATTTATTTGCAAAAATTAAAAGATAATAATCATTATTTGAATTAAAAAATTAACTGTTCACTTTATCTACACTTAAAATTTACATTTTAAGTAGGACATTTTAATATTTCAATTATGCATTTAGTTTATTCCAAAGGAAACTTATTTCAAGTCGATAGGCGACAAAACAATCAATATATGTATATATATAATCTTGATAAAACATATTAGTCTGGTTTTTAAAACACACAGATTAAAGTGGTAGAACAGTGATGAAATCAACTTCAACTTCAACATCAACATCATTTATAATTATCTGAACAAAAATATCATCTTATCATATTGGAGTTTGAATAAGTGAGTCAATCTATGTTTAAGATTTTTCGTGAGAACTACACAGATTGATTTAAACAAATTTTAAAGTTCTGTTAAATAATAAATTCCAGCTGAAAAATCAATGATACTTACAAATAAAATATTACGTAGTTCTTTTTCTCTCCTTACTATGCCAATATCCATAACTAAAATAGATTGTGAAACCTGTTTATGAAAGAAGAAAAGAATACATGTTCATATTATAGGCATTAAAGAAATCATTGAACTATTTGTGTTAAAAATAATACACAAATGTACGTTATGTAATTGATTTTGTTATGATTAATCATTTTTTTCTTCAAAAATTGAATGCAGAAATTTAAAATATTCCATTGAAACATCTGGAACATCAAAAGTTATAATAAAATAATTGGGTTTCTTCTTAATTTTTACTCTTTTATAAAGCCTATATCTTCATTATATAAAAAATTAATTTAATGCTTACATAAATCATATGAATTGAATTTTTTTTATTCTTCTGTGATCAAAGTGATAAAACATTTTCTGAGATATGAATAGTTTAATGCATATTATTTTATGTTGGTGAAGGAAATTTGTACATCAGGTGGATGATTGTGGTGGTGTTTCATTCTCTGAGCTAGATGTTTTGGTTGTGGTCGGCCGTTTCATTTTGGTATTGGATTCATCAGCAATGCGTATTCACGACACGTGCACCTCGCAGGGATCAAACCTAGGACCTTCGGTCTTGCGCGCGAACGCCTAAAATCTGAACCACTGAGCTCAGAAAACCAAACACCACTACAACATTATTTTAATTTATCTATAAACACATATTTAAAGCTAGTGTACCATTAAAATGAACATTTTGCATTTCGACTAAATATCAGTGAAAGTTTTATGATGATTACTTGTATTTTAAATTCGGATATTGCAAATCTTGGCAATGGGGTGTTGTAGTTACAACTCATTTCACATTGATATTTAAAAAAATACAGAAAATCAACAGGAAAGAACATAAACAAAGGAAAATAACACTAACACATGGAAATAAAAATTAAATATAAGAAATACATTACAAATGTAGGCAAATTAAGTTTAAAAAAATCCAAAAAAGGAATAATGATCAAAACAGAATCTACGAGAAGATAAGTAATAAATGTATTTGTGCCATCAAAAGTAAATTTAAACCAACTGTAGATTATGACTGTCTGATACAGTTCAAATTAACTGTTTCATTTGCGCACTGATAACTAAGTGTAAAGCCTATTTGATCGCCATAGTTGCAGCTAATCAATTAATCATTGTGAGGGTGAACATTATAACATTTACTTTGTTAAATCTGATTTTACTGTAGTTATTGCAAAATAATTTTTTGCATGTCCTAGAAATAAGGATAATCGGTTATCGTACCCAGGCATACTACAAACCTCTAAGATCTACTTATTAACTTATCGGTCAACTATATTAATAAAAGAATTTTAGATTTTTTCTTTATGTCACTTACTCCGTAATTTCCTTATTAAATTAATGAAAAGTTGAAAGCCGATTATCAATCTCTCTCTACGTATATGTGATCTGGAAGGAGCTAATAGTTATTAAGGGACTTGAACTTGAGTCATTTTATGTCGAAATTCATAAAAAAAATCACCAAAAATTATAAAATTATGAATTCGGACTGAATAAATAGTACACTTGTGGTTACTGCTTTCTGTTTGAAGCAACTAACGATATGCCATAGTTCTCATTCAACTTCACCCAGAACCCAGTATAATGGATGAGGGTTAGGGACAAGGGTTGGAAAAATTACCCCGTGGAAAGCAGTAACCGGAGAAATCATAACTGAAGATTATTTGTGTAAATGTTTGGTCAAGAATCGATAGTTTTCCAAAATTCAACGAGACACTGATACGAATCCTAATGATTTTTTATTTTCCATTAAAAAATTCTAATCTCAAAGCTATATGTCAGCACTGAACATATCAGCATAAAGTAAGTAAACAATGAAGTATACGAAGTGTACATACTGTTGTCATATCAAAAGAATCCCCCCCTCTCCCCTTAATAAACTTTTTATACTCATGTGAATGAAAATATCAGTAGACTAGTAACCAGCTGTCGGCTATCTTAAAAAAACACGACAATAAATAAAAAGTTTCCAAATATTTCTCTTATTAATTCAATACCAAGTCCAACTATTCATAGATAATTAGATTTTATTCATCAGTTATCAAATAATATATATGAAATATATCCTATAATATTCATTTGATTAATGAATACTTTTTTAATAGCCAAAATAAATATCCTTGAAACAATGGCGAAAAACTGAATAGTTCTATGTATTTGTATTTTTTTTCATCTCAACTTACAAACTTTCTTCGATGTGAACTTTTAATTTATTCTCATTTGGAATGAAACATTTCCATATGATAAAACAAATCAAATAATAATAATAATAATTGGTCTATCTTGTTTCAATGTATTATTTGATAGCTTAAGCTCTCAATAAACTATTGACACTTTGTTACTCCAGCCTTACATACAGTACGGTTAGCTGAAATGTAAACTAGTAACACTCATTGAGTTACTTTTAGACTAGTGGCCTACACCATGGAATAATCAACTGTCTTGGTTATCGCTTATTCTTCAAATCAGTTAGTCAGTATCCAATTTCTATAAGTCTAACTTCAATCAATTTGTGATATTAAAACACTATTATTCATTGACATTGTGGATATTTGTATCACGTCTAACACGGTTGAACTCCACGGGTTATGAACCTGGAATAATCGCTCGAAATTAGCCACTGACAAATATATGATAATTACAGGCTATGAATATTTTTGAATTTCATTCTACATGTCAAGGAATGAACTTAGTTAAACGAAACAGCTTTTCAGTGCTTCCTAATTTTCGTTGTTTGTCTAACTAAGTTGATTCGAAGATGAAAAAACTATGAGTTATTTATTTTCAATTTTTGGTGTACACATAAATCACTGTGAAAATATTCTTTCCTTTTGATTATTTAATTATTCATATGAACTATAAGTTTAGACCTGATAGTAATAATTTTGAAAACGTTTTGTCAATCAAATTCATTTTTTCCTATTGTATATGAAAAAAATTAATTCAAACGATATATTAGAAAAGTTTTTTTTAAAAAACTTATATCTACTTAATTTTTATGGAATTTTTATTTTATCGAAGAATAAATTTATTGATAAATTAAAATTTCTTTTTGAACCAAATGAAAAGCGATTAGTGGGCTATAATTGATTTACATAAAAATGATATTAAATCTAGGTGATCAATCTTCAATTAAAATAAATTTAAGCTTGTACAATAATTCTAAATAACTAATACTATTGTTTCTAGACTGTGAAAAGATGAAGATAAATCATAATGCAACTGAATTTATACTGTTCTGTTACATTCATTTTGACTGCATGTTTTGTTTTTAAGAAAATGAACTCTGCCAATACGTTGAATATTGTATCTCAGTTAGTCAATCCGATTCGTAAACAAAAGTTGTTTAATTTTTTTTTAAAAAAATGTCTTATAATCATTTTAAACATTATTATTATTATTATTATTATACGGTAATGTAAAAGTAAATGAATCATTTAGATTTTTTACTAAACATTAATCAAGTTCACTAAGATTGGTTGATAGATTAGACTAAACCAGTCGAGTAAAGGAAGTAAGAAATTGTATTTGGATCAACCTCTCCATCAAAAAGTAATCTGTCGATAGATTTTGATAGTCAGAATTTAAGTCGATATAACGAGTAAATAAAGGTAGGAGGAATTCATTGATTAAGAAGTACTCTGTAATCAGTGGTTCATTCTCTACACAAATGTACAAACCTACTAGTAGTAATTCTTACTGTGTTACATCAATTGATTGTTATTATTGAATTACTAAAACACTGAATCAGTCTACTTGTTATCGATTCAAAATGTTTTATTTAAGAAAAATTCATTCATGAAAGGAGGTATAGTGAACATAGGTTTTTTCAAATATTACATATATAAACCCTTATAAAGAATTCTTATTCTTTGGTTAGTAATAGAATCAGGATAAAGCTGTACATATTGTAAGATACACTCAAATGAATCATTTGAAAAGAAAATTAACTGCAATTTTTGAAATACGAATGGAAATATAATCATAATAAAATGTACTTATATTGTCATGGTAAGTAGGGCAGTGAAGTTAGTATTTTTGAATATTTGGTTAAGTATAATTAATATTTCAAGTTTTGTTTAATTCAATCATAGCCTGCACTAAACAACGAAACATCAATATGATTCGCAAAAACAAATAAAAACATAAATATACTAAAATAAATCTTATTGTATTTTTTAAAAAATGTTTTAATCATATCAAGAGGAAACATTGATTTGTTATGATTAAGTTTTTAGTTAATGATTGAAGGCAGTTAGTTAGATTAAATGATTTTCTTAGTTAAATAAATCGATAAAGATTCTTACCGATAATCATCCATATTACAAATCTAACCCATGTAGCACTGGATAATTTCATCATTAGATATATGTTGATAAATATACTAACAGCTGGAAGCCATGGAACCCCAGGTACCTGTAAAAATAATAAGCATTGTTTGAAATTTTAGTCTTCGATTAACAGTAAATACTATAGGAATTCTTTTTGTCATAAGTATTATTTTTTTTGGCTTACTATAACACTCATCTCAAGAATTCTTATCCGACTCATATAATGTTCTTTCTCAGATTTATAACAAACATGATTCAAGAAGTTTTACTGGGAGTAAGTTTTTTTCTAAATAAACAGTTGATTTTAGTTTAACAGTAGTAACTTTAATAAATAATAATTATGTTATCATCACTACTAATTAGATGTCTAAGTGAAAATCAGGCAAATCACCTAGAAGTATCGCATACTGCATAAATATCCCGCTATAATATAGAACATTGTATTTACACATTCATATATGATTGAGGTGAATGGGCTATGTAATAGTTTGGTGTAAAGGTATATTTAATTCATAAAATTGATTTATTGATTCAGCGAAAAACGAAATATTTGCAAAATTTGTGAAAATAATATTGAAGAAATATCTAGATAAAAATAGTTTAAACACATAAAACATCTGTAACTCAAACTTTGAAATTAGTTACAGGAAGTAACATGTTTTAATCAGTTGTCAGTAACAAACATTAACTTTTTCTAGACACTTGAATTAACAGAAATAGTTTTGTTTCTAAGAATATAACACTTACCTTGAATGCAACAATCGCTTGATTTTCTGGTTGTCTAGCTAGTGATAAACAAATGATAACACTCATCACTATCGTTATTGCAACGAACATCCATAATGGGATTGTGACTAGTAAGTTTCCTGTTGCCCCTTTAGGTAGCTTATCGAACACTAATATTCCCAGATTACAGAGAGAAATGACACAAACTAAAAAATATGGGTTAAGTAGGATAAAGCAAAAAGATATTAGGTTTCAATTAGAAAGATTAACTGAATGTTTAGTTAATGATAGAGGTGCAGCCGAAATCACATACTATGCTCAATAACCTACTTTACCACTCTTATCACTGAAAGAGATGACTCGGAATTTTTTATCCCATCCCTGGCTAGAAATTATCTTTGAATTAATGAAGTAGCATTAATAAAATCACTAAGTATTTTATAAAATTGAAAACTAATTATTTATTCACCAAATTTTAAATATCTTGTATTTTCGAGCAGAGTTTTGGAGGTTTTGTGTTTTTACACATTTGAAATAATCAAACAATCATTATTAAACCAACATTAGAAACATGGAAGCACTGGACAGCCGTTTCGTCCTGGCATGGGATTCATCAGCAGTGCGCATCCACGACTCCTGCACCTCGCAGGGTTCGAACCCGGGACCTTCGGTATTGTGCGCGAACACCTAACCATCGGACCACTGGGCCGGCATCTAGCGGTGTTATTGTCTAACTCTGATTGATCTAGTATTTCAGGTTTATTGTTTATGAAAATTATATTTTCACAATGATTCAGAAAGAGTTAAGAACAAAATTCGAATAAAGAATAAGTTAGATTCTCTTGAAATACAAACTAAAAATATGAATTGAGAAGTCCTTTTGATTGATTATCCCTCGTAACTTTATGTATAATTCCGGAAGTGGATATCTGGGAATATATATGGTTAAAGTTCTAGAAATGAATTGCCAGTTAATTGAAATTATATTTCCTCATAGATATGCGTGGAAGAAAAATCCTTTGCAACTCGCCCCAAAACAATGAGAATCTGTTACATCTACACTCAAGTAACCAAAAGTAGTAGTTTATCAGTAACACAGTCATAAATCAGGTTTGGATAGAGAAAAAACCCAATGTTCCACAATAATAACATTCTTCACAGATTTCAATAGTCCATTTTTTAGGATAACTGCTTTAAACTAATAATTCATGAGGGATATTTTATTTAGCACGTTGAGAAACCTTATGATTTACTTGATTGATCATGAGTTCTACTCCATGAGCCTAATACGATATATAATATGTTAACTAAGACGAAAACGCCAACATTTGGACTAAACTCTGGCTACTGGATAAAAACAGCCTTTGGATATATGCTGTCAAATAAACAATGGACAATTCTGAGTATTATCGGTAACCTACAAAAAACTGTTCGAAATTCATATTTGTTTCTCTTAGTTGACACAAATCAAAATATGAAATAAGCATTCATTTATTTAATTATTAGTTAATGAATTCATCACTTACGTAATAAGTAAGTGTTGATTTTGTAGATTGATTCGGTGGTTTTGGACGGTTTGTTTAGATTGGGTTCAGGTTTGAAACAATGTCGAAAATAATTTGACATGTTGAGACTAATATTATTAGTAGCTGATGAAGTACCTGTTTGCCCCAAAGTATTTGATAAACTTCAGAAAAAAAATAGTGTATATAGACTAAAATTTATTTTAAAAAATAACCACGTATTAAGTTTCTCTAAAGAAGAAATAACAAACACATGGATTTAACCAAGAATCTTAGGATGAATGATTATCAGTTAAAAAGTGCTGCACTGAATGTTAATTGTAGACCTTTTATTATAGACTTTATTGTTACTGTGCTAGCTGTATTTACTCTGATGTATATACATGTATATATATATATATATATATATATATATATATATATACATGCTAAGGCACTAGTTGAAAAGAAATTCTTATTTGCCAATTTCACTTTGTTTCCTAATAGGGTTATTTAGTATAAAATAAATACAAAAAAGTTAGTAGTATCAGTTTCTTAAGTTGTATTACATGCCTATTCTACATGTCACTTTGTCTTTCACAAGATCTTTGTTGACAGATTCACAGATATCTATTCATTTTTAAACTTTTTTAAGCGTTATATACTGGTTCCTACTTCGTCGGTTGATTATTGTTGAAATAATGCTGCAACTACTGCAAGATGATGAAGTATTTCTTAGCTTGGAATATGTAACATACTTGTAAGCATTCTTGTTAAACACTATTTCTTCAATGACAAGTTTCAGTTTCTTATATACTAGAATATATCATCCATAAATTCTGTATAAAACAATCATCATTTTATGACGTTTAAGACGTGCTAATCATTTTTTGTTTTTGAATTTAACATCATGAAAGATGTTTCTGTTGAACGGTCATTATTAATATGTTTCTTTATACCAGTTCATTTGGTGGCGATCAATTAACAAATCGATTTGTATGGGAAATTACCGATCATTCATTATTCCATGAATATATATATATATATATATATATATATATATATATATATATATGTACTCAAAATTCCTTCCCTATAGCAACTAGTGAGGTAAGATTTTCTCAATTTACAACTACAGTTTACTTAGTAACAAAAAAAGAGAACATTATCGAATGTGGTCAATAGCAACTATTTCTTTGAAAATATGATTGTATTGAAAAAAGAGCTTGTTCAAAGGCATTAAGATTCTTGATAAATTATCGATTTTCCTTAAATGAAATTGAACAAAATACACACACTACTGGTATTTCATTCTTTCACAAAAATAGATTATTTTCTGAACGTAAAAAAAATAAATAAATATCTATTTCATGATGTTTGTATTTGGTAAAGAATAAACTAACACTTGCAAGTAGCAATTTATTGTAGAAAATGGTAGTTTTTTTTGAGTAGTCGATTGTTCGCACCTAATTAAATGCTTAACAAACTAATAAAACTGATCTCTTTCAAAAGTAACCAAACTATTAATAAAACACTTCATCTCGCTAGCCAATTATTTATTGTTAGATAATAACAGAAAGGGGGCAAACTAAATGTTCATTCTAGTTACAGTGACATGCAACATCTTGTTTTAAATACTGTTTATTATTATAAACTAAATATGATTGAAAATAGTTTTAATTCAATGGTTTAAGTGCGTTACTCTCCAAAAAGGTTTAATTTATTCATTTTCGCCGCAGTAATCAAGAGGTAAATTAGTTGCACCTTGTCAAAGATCATGATCAATCAGTAAAATGATTGTGCAAATAGAATTGTGATGAATTTTTTAATTAATTAACATTACAACTAAAGAATTAATTAACAATGCAACATACAACACTTCACACTGAATCCGAAAACAGTCAGTTACCTTGGATTTTCTTTGCTGCTAGGTGATACATACGGTTTAGTTTGGTTACAGTATTTATTAAAATCATTCGATAGTTCTTTTTTACTACAGCCTGATATTTTATTCGGAGATTTCATTGTATCTAATTTCATACTAGTGATAAATTTAAATTGATATGAAAAAAAACAGATGAAAAAAATATTTTTTTAATTCTTCTAGTTTAATGTTCTCAAAAGGTAGACCAATAAACTACACTTTTGATTGCATAATGGTTGTATTAAATGTAATAGTTCATAGTGATTGTATTATTGTATACATATACGCCTGATAATTTATTTAGTCATGTTGTTTTATTAAATAAGTAGCTTATTCTTTTGACTAGTCGTTATGTTTATCATAACTTCTTTTTTGGTTGATAATTTAGTCTTGTGAGCAATCAGAAATTGAACACATCGAATCCTTCACCGTAACATCAATATCTGAAGAAATTAAGCGAAAATCTATGTAACGTTTCTAGACTTGCATCGAATTCACTGGAGATTTGAGGAAATCATTAATATTATAAGACTTAGTTTGATCAACCGTATACCATAGATTGGACTCCCTGACCGATATTCTTGAAATGATAAATATTAGTACCTAGTAATAGGTGAATTTTTTATTTTATTGATTTATGTTATCATCCTTAATTAATTAACAGTTTACTAATAATCAATATACCAATCCTTTAATTTAAATTAATTGGAAGTTTCTAGCTATCACATGATATTAAAATCGACCTGTTAAAACTTAGAATGATATCCATGTATTAAATATTTGGGCTAATTTGAAATGATTTTAAATATTACAGACTTACTTAGATAATGAAATATCAACTGGCCGACTTTCTTCATGTGTCAGTACTTTCGTATCATCTTCACTGTGGTCAAAACAAAATCCAACTGACATTCGTTGTCCCCTAAAATGTTTAAAAATGAAACAGAATAGTTAGAAATGAATTTCGATTTTGTGAAGACCTACATTGTTTACAAGGGGATTTTACTCGAGCCTCATTTAATCGAAGAATTACCCCAGACAAAAACGAACTAGATAATTGACTATTTCTAGTTCATAACTCTCAAATAGTGTGTATTAATAGCCTTCCACAGGATGAAACACATGATCTTCAAATATGAGGACGAAAAGAGACTATATAGATATTCTTAAAGGAAAACCCTAACTAACTCAACATAATTGTTTGTAGAAACAAAAATTTATTCAGTAAATATAAGCTACTATTAACAGACAAGTATAAAAGCTAAAAGTATGTTATATGGCCATACTGCATTGTAAATACTTCAAAGTTTACCATATGTACAGGCATTCAATCTTTATTTCAAAAAGTATTATTTACCAATACCATGACTTATTTGCCTTCTTAAGAGACCTATAATTTTCACTTGCATAAATTGTTGTGTACTACATAATAGTGATGCCAATATTGAATGCACGAAATCAGATAACTCAACCTTAAAGTATGCGGACGTTAACTTTAGTGAGCAATACAACTGCATATATAATCATTTGATACGTGTGTTAATTATAAATATCCAGCTGATTAATGCAAAAGTTTACTTTACAGATAAGATTTTTTGATAAATCCAAATATTAGTTACTGATGAAGTAGTTTACACTCAATTTTATTTGTATAAAAGAGTAGGATAGTATAAATATTCTATACTAGATCCTATGTATTCGGTATTTGCTTGTTTGCGATGTGATCTTATACTGTTTGATACAATTTAGAACGTTCTTACTCTAAGAAATTGAAACATTTGGAATTTGTAGATTCAACTCTCATAGTGATAGGTATAATAAACATTTTGGTAAATTACCAACATCTCTGTCTTTATTATAATAATGCATTATGTGGATCAGTGAGATGTTATGAGATGGCTGTTGAAGACAACTTTGTCTTGAAATCTGAATAAATTTTAATGCTGACGACTTATAAAGGCTTTGACTAGGCTTAGGAAATATTGTTTAATGAAATTCATGAAATCGTTAATTATCTCTCATAATTACGATGGGTTGTTAATAATAGGACAGAAAAATAAGGTTAATTTCCCGGACGCATGTCACAACTAATAGTTTGAAGGATAAAGAACAAGGAAATTGAAATTCTTGACTACAAAAGCAGAATTTACAATCTATGTATGATGGAATTATTTTATAGAATATATGAATTACCTCAAAAGAAGCACAGAGACAGATACCAGAGTATAAGCAAGAAGTGTACCGATTGACATCATATCAACTAGATCTTTTAAGCTGAATAATGCAGCCATTACACCTGAAATTGTTGCATAATAAAATTAGATCACTATAATTTATATATAAACTTTTACCAAATAGGTGAATAGTAAGAAAAGTTAAATAATAAATGATATTTTAAATTTATTTAGTCAAAGCTACCAGATGTCTACGTTAAATTGTCTGCAAACTATTCGACTGCGTGTTATTGTATGAAATTAGGAAGGGGGAAATTCAGTGTGTCGGCTGTTATTCAGAAAATACTTAAATTGCCGTAAAAGAGATGGTCAAAGGTTAATAGGGTGCTCTGATCATTTATATGCAACAAAAGCAAAAGAAATGAATTTTAAGGTTTATTGTTTTTCTATGGAACATTCTGTAGCGACATAATTTGCCTTATATCCTGAAATTTACTACGAGATATTTGAAGTTAATTAATCAGGCAAAACAATCTTCTGTGATTCAAACAATTTCTGTCGATCACAATGGAATATGAACACACTTATGATGACTTAATTTTGTGGGGTTTATCCTCTTACTAACTGATAAAATTTAAACTTCTAATGGGAAAATGTAGCACATTGACTGTTAATTTCTTGTTTCTTTTCTTGTTATCCAATTAAGTCAGTGTAATATTATCTTCACTAAAGAAAACTGACTGATCGTCATAACAATCAAATGATTACATGATGTATTTGTGTATATGTAAAGCTATGGTATATTTTAAGGTTGGTTATTTTTTTTTAACATAGTCTAATTTTCCATATTATTTTAGCGAATATCACATATAATTAAAATGAGATACTATAGTGAATTTTACAAAGAATTACTACAAAAATGTATGTTGTTTGATATACTGAGTGAAATTTACACCACAGTAATGTAAATGATTTTAGAATGAATTATTATCATGCCGAATTTAAAATAAGAATTATCGAGAGCAATTATCGTAGTGAATCCTGAAGAAGATTTTGTATTTTTATCCAGTCCTATACCTGACCATCAGTCAGTCAGTCAGTCAGTCAAATGTAACGTAGAACTTCGTACGCAAGTACATCAGTTCATATTGCCATACCACATTAGCACAGAGACGCAATAGTCAAATACCATAGTGCTGGAGATAGTAGGGGTAAAACTGGTAACAGAGAGGCTAGGGGTTCCAAGATATTATTCAAGAAGAATAATTCAGTGAGACAGGTGTAGAAAGAAAAAAGTAGAGGTGTTGACGAATCCAGAATATTAGGATTTGAGAGAACAGAAAGAATGAATGCACCTGCGCCATGTCATTCAAGGTCTCTAGCCATCGGTTACTATCGTCTCACAGACCCCAACCAGGTAGCCCACATTGACCAACATGACTCAGTCCACTTGTCAGTGACTTTATGGGTCTGACTATCAGTGGCTATTTTTTTACGCCACTCCTCCGGAGTGCATTCGTTTAATCCACAAACTAAAAATAATAGTGTTGAGTAAATTCACCTAGCCGTCGATTTCCAAAAAAAGACACCATTTAAGTTTATTGATCAAAGTTTTCAGAGATACAAGTATGAATAAATATGTATATTCAAAAATACTTACATCCAATAACACCTGCTACAATTGTACCGAAAAGTGGAGTTTTAACTTTTGAATTTATTCGACTTAAAAAACTAAACAATAACCCATCAGTTGCCATAGCATAGAGAATACGTGGCAATGGGAACATTGAACCTAAAAGGCTAAAAATAATGTAATATTTAGTGAACCGGATTAGCATTTAATTGAATTTAGAAAATAATGTTATTAGTACAGAAATAATTCACTTAGGCATAAGTGATCGTTTTATGACATTCATAATAACTAGAATTCAGAGTGCAATTTATTTAAAAAAATATTAGGTTTCACACTCATCGATCATCACTCTAACCTATTTCTAATGTAGTAAATAGTGTGAATTGTTCTGTAGGTTAATGTCAAAAGTCGATTAGTTTATAACAATGTTGGATTACGTAAGGAACTGTCGTGCACCAACCAAATTGCAGGATTGCGGATCAATGTTCAGTAATCAATTGAATGGAAGTCACCACTCTACATCAAATTCATTGACCACGAGAGAGCATTTGATAGCGTGGACAGGACAAAACTATGGAGGGTTCTTCGACACTGCAGCGTGCTTGAGAAGATAGTCAACATCATACGGAATTATTATGATGGTTTAAACTGCAAAATCGTGCATGGAGGTCCGCTGACAACTCGCTCAAGGTGAAGACCGGTATCAGGCTAGGTTGTTTACACTCATTCTCTCTATTTCTCCTGGCGATCGACTAGATTATGAAAACATCAACATCTGGAGGGAAGCACAGCGTACAGTGGATGGCCGGGATGCAGTTGGACGATATGGAATTCGCAGATGATCTGTCTCTTCTGTTGCATATGCAACACCAAATGCAAGAGAAGACGACCAGTGTAGAAGCAGCCTCATAAGCAGTAGGTCTCAACATACACATTTGGAACTCAAAACAACTATCAAGTGACACCAAAGTCAGAATTTTCAATACAAATGTCAAGACAGTTCTACCGTGTGGAGCGGAAACTTGAAGAACTACCAAATACATCATCATGAAGATACAAGTATTTATTGACAGTCGTTTACGCAAAATACTAACGATCCGTTGGCCAGACACCATCGGCAACAACCTAATTAGAGAGAGAAGAAACCAGATTGCAGCGGAGGAAGAAATCAGGAACAAGCGGTGGAAGTGGATAGGACACACACTGTGGAGAGCACACAACTACGTCAAAAGACAAGCCCTCACATCGAACCCTCAAGGACAAAGGAAACGAGGAAGACCAAGGAACAAAATACGTCGAGAAATGTAGACAGACATGAGAAGAACAGACATAATTTGGACAGAACGGGAAAGGGAAGCCCAGGACAGAGTAGGATGGAGAATACTGGTGGGCGGCCTATGCTCCACTGGGGGTAACAGGCATAAGTTATGAAAATCTTTTCTGCATCGGAAAGGTGGAACACTCTTTAGTATTTTAAAAGTCAACAGGTACTAGAATACACCCTATAAAAAGTTTGTACATACATAAGTTTGCATCTCAAAAAATATTTGTGAACTGTATGTGGCTCAAGGCATAGGATTATTTAAAAAGTATAACTAACTAAGCTAAAGTTGATGTCTATCGACTCGAGCATAACACTTATTTAAACGGTAATGATATAAAAAATATGTCATTAGCGTTGCACTTACAAAAATCAAAAATAATAATGATATCTAAATAAAGTGCATGTTTGGTAATAAAGTCACAACAATGCTAACATTTTCACTCAGCCAACAATCCTTTCATAGACTGATTATTCCAGTAAAGCTGGTTTAATTTCAGTTCAGCTTTCAGTCTATAAGTTAGTAGATGTTTGAACTGTAACGACCAAATGGAAATAATAATGATTGTAATGGGTTAATAAACACTGGTTGAGATGATTATGTGAGTAGAGCCAACCTTTAATATATCTTTTAAGCAAAATCTAAACTAGGTGCCTTATTCATGTTCATAACATTGGATTCACTAAAAAACACTTATAATAGTTACTTACAAGTATGCCGATTAAATAAATGTAAATAAAGATAGGTTAAATGATGTGTGGTATGTAATAATTATTTTGTGAAATTTTCCCTGCATATTACAAATTAATGCATTTAATTAGTCGTTTCTGTGCATATTTCCAATCAAGAAACAATATCAATTCAGTATGTTTTATGAATAATGGGATTATAAATAACTGCACTTTCCCAATCTGGAACATTTGCGTTAATCCATGAGTTTTGAAGACGACGACTTCTGAGTTACTGCTGGTAAACCAAAAGACAAAGCATCTGTTCTCTTTGATTTGGATTTAATACAAACAGAGTGAAAAAATTGAGATTAAGGAGTCACTTGTTGTTAATTATTTCTAAATACTTTCTCGGTAAATGGTTGAAATGTATTCTGAAAAACCGATTACTTTTATTACTTAAATGATGAAAAAAGTAGTTACTACGTTAAAACTATTAACATACCTAGTAGTTAGAGCACATAAAGCTCCAGTGGAAATAATGTATTTTGCCCATTGCAAACCATGGCGACTAACTGCAAGTGGTAAGGCAGCAACAGAAGAGATAGCATAATATGGTACCATTAATGTAAGTGTAGCAGATATAAGACCATATGCCACAAAGCATATTAACAGGCACCCAATAATACTGATAGGAATCGCTGTTTGTGGATTGCGCACTTCCTCGCCTTAGAAATAATAAAATAATAAACGGGAAAAATACCAATATACCTTTATACATAACTTGAGATTAAAGGAAGCTAAAATAAATAATTTGTTTACTGTAATACGTTTAGGGGAGTATGTACAGAGCTTAATATGGTAATATAATTTTAAGCTGACTTATTTCTGTAGTTTTTCTTAACCAATGATAAAATATTGTTCAAATATCACCAAGGATGATATCAAATGATCGCATAGAAGACAACGTATGACAACACAAAGAGTTCAATATTGAAAAACAACAAATCCCAATGTGACATGAATAAACTAAATAAGACGATGGTTTTCACTTGACAGCATGCTCAGAAAGCTTGAATGCTTTAAACGTCAAACGTTAAGTTCGAATTTTAGTCGAATTATTATCGATTACTGAAATATGTATTAAGATTGCAGATTAAAATCAAATGAGATGCGACAAAAACCTTGAACTCTTCAAGTAGTCTTTAGTCAGTACTATAAAATTAATCAGTCAAAACATTTCTGTCACGTGATTTGCGAAAATTTTTTTTAAAACGTGATAACTCATGTCGATATGGTAACTATTAAGCTTATCGCTACTTTTCGTGATTGCAGGAAAAGATTTTAGTTTGACTCTTAACTTTTCTGTTCCTATCTGACTAATTGTCAGGAAATAATAATTAAGTTGTGAAAGAGTTCATTTTTAAGATGTGAATTGGTAATATAAACAATTCAGATTAATATTATGTAATTCCTTTTGAATAAATTATTCTGGTGGATTACTATTTTACAAACTTACTCTTAATCTTTATGATTGGATTGATTAAATTTAATGAAAACCTATGATTCTTAGGTTCCATTTATTCGATAACAGCTAATAAGTATTTGTAATTTTTATCCGAATGTTTTTAAACTAGTGTCACTTGTGAATTAAGGGTCATAGTAGTAGGGTATACTTCAGCACAAATGGAACTCATGGTCTTTTCTATCGATTAGTTTTCATGTTTAGACACTTGTTTGAAAGAATTTCTCCCGTAGGTTCACAAAAAGGTCTAAATTAAGTAAGCAGCAATACGGAATATTCGATATTCACTTCTAAAAGAATCAGCACTTCATACGGCATCTAAAATAACACAATAAAGTTTATATACAACGTGATTGTTGTTATAAAATCCATAAATGAGCCCTTTTATCATAGATAACTACAAAGCAAAGACAAGCACTAAATAGGCTAATTACCTGTGGTTGCAATAATATCGAATCCGACAAATGCAAAAAAACACGTTCCAGCCCCAGAAAGTACACCATTAAAACCAAAAGGAAAAAATCCACCACTTCCTACATTTGTAACGTTTACAGTACTATTAGTAAAAACCTGATAATTCGAAAAGAAATTTTGATTGATTCAAATTATAAATATAATTTTGTCAAGATATAAAATAAAAATTTATAAAAAATTCTTTCTGCTTTGATAGTTTGTATATTTGACAGATGCTGATAATTTGACACGATGTTAAGTTTTACAAATGACTTTTAGTTTAAGAAACAAGTGGTATGTTGATGGTGTAGTCGAAAACCAAATAAATTCAATAGCAAGTATCACTAAATTAGTTGAATATCAGATCAATTTAATGTCAATATTACATCTGAGAATGTCATTCTGGGCTCATGAAACAATCTGAGAGCAATGCTTATAATCTTCTAACATTTAAACCTAATATACATGTTGACTGAATTTTAATTTTGAGCTTTTTAGACTTACTGCTTATATTTACTAGTCGTTCTCTTATTTCCAGGAATATTTTTAATAATAAATTGTAGCTTTAATACAAAATTGGGAAACTTCGAATGTTACTGTAGGGCTGCATTTCTAAAATTGAAAAGTATCTAGAAATCCAAACAAATATCAGTCAACACCAAAATCAGGATCTTAAATACTAATTTCAAGACAGTTCTGCTGTATGGAGCGAAAACTTCGAGAATTACAAACGCCATCATCGAGAAGATACAAGTATTTATTGACAGTCGTTTACGCAAAATACTAACGATCCGTTGGCCAGACACCATCAGCAACAACCTAATTGGAGAGAAGTCAGGAAGAAGCGGTGGAAGTGGATAGGATACAATGCGGAGAACGCACAACTACATCACAAAATAAGCCCTTTCTTGGAACCCTCAAGGACAAAGGAAACGAGAAAGACCAAGGAACAAAATACGTCGAGAAATGCAGACAGACATGAGAAGAATGAACAAACCTGGAAAGAACTGGAAAAGGAATCCCAGGGCAGAGTTTGTTGGAGAAAACTGGTGGGCAGCCTGTGCTCCATTGGGGGTAACAGGCGTAAGTAAAGTAAATAAGAATGTTACTGTAGTATTTTTGGTTTCTAAATTATGGCGTATACAGTACTGTAATTGTCCAGAATATCTCAAATCCTCGAACAAGTTATCAAGTATAGGTCAACTCAATATAGTTTCATTTCAAACAGACTGATAACCGGATAATTTTTAGTGTTATTGAAATGATTCACAGTATCAAACCCTTTTTAAACTTTAAATTGTTTATTAAAGTTTAATTCGGGTTTTCTGGATTATAATGAAGAGCATTTTTTTATGTCTACAAACGACCGTTTATAGATTTTTACAAGAATAACCTTTCTAATGAGAAGAACTCTATAAACATGGGGATACTTCTGTTGATTTTATTGGTCTATCACAAAAAATTTAATGAATACCATTCGGATTAAATATTTTTTCATTGAAATTCTTGATAAAAAATAAACTAAGTAATAGTCACATTTTATGAATGTTGAATTAGTTGGTTGTAAAAGATAAATAATGATAAAAAATAAAACAATAGCTATTGAAATGATTCTTAACTTGTTCTTCTACTTATCTGAAGTCATAAACATGTACTCACCACTAGTGACATTAAATGATCAATGTAACATAATGGTCAAGTATATGTTCATATTCTAAGCTTCAGATTATACTAAATACGAATATGTATGAAACTAAGCTTGTATTGTGAATAAAATAAGTGGGACTAAATTCAATCATGATATTGAATGGTTGAAATTTGATATATATATGGTATTCAGAAATTAGAGTTAAGCGAAAAGATGGTAATTATTTGTAACTTAACACGTATTTGAACATTGAAAACGTTTTACTGCAAGCAGACAGCTTACTTACGACATTGATGTTAAACAGTTTGAAAATTTTGAACCGATTCTCAAAATTAACCAAGTATCGTAACCATAAATAACGTCAATGGATTTTAATTTTAAGATTTTGTAAAGTTACAATGACGATTGTATTAAGCCTCTTGTACAATTCAGCAAATATTCATATTACTGACTGAAATCTGAGAAATATGAAATGATGAAATCGAAATCTGACAAACAACTATTACTTCATTTCTTTCCAATTTTACCGAATATTTATACTAATTACTTGCAAAAATGTGGAATATGAAAAAAATGAGCGAAGAAAATGTACATATCAGTCAGGTCAAAAGAACTTACATTATCTGGATTAACTTTCCAGTTATTAATATTTGCATAAACCAAGCCAGTTACAACTACAAATAGGATGACACACAAATTGATTGCTGTAAACACATTGTTAATCATTGTAGATTCACGTACACCAATGCTAAGAAGGACTAAAATAGGTATATTGAAATGAAAAAAGAGGTAGAAAGAAAACAATTTTTTGTTCAATAAAATAAAAGCGTTAAAATCCACTTTTCTGGAATACTTTCCCAATTATAAAAGGGCGTTGTAATGCAGACATTGACTGAGAGCAGAAAGTTGAGGGTTTCTCCAAATTTCGTTAGGGAATCTACAACTCCTCATCAAAGTACTAGGCTCAATATCTTTAGTAAAACCATTACAAATACTTTCCTATTTGATATGATTCATCTATAAAATAACTTAACACTATTTTTGAAATTTAATCAGCTTCTAAAACTCAGAACGTTAAAAATAAATATCACTGGAACTAGGATTTTGTGAACTTTCATTCCTGAATTGTGTCTTCTTAAAAACTGCTAACGTGAATTATTTAGAAGTAAAAAACAAATATACACGTATCTTTAGTGTAAAGCGATGTGAAAATGAAAGTTAGTGATGTAGTTAATAAAAAATAATAAAATGTCCGACATTATAAGTTAATAACATTCAGATGTCAGTATTGTTGATATCCTTTCTCGTGAATGTAACTGAAAGATTAAAATGATCAAAAACCATAAGATTAACTTTCTTACTTGTCATTAAAATAATTATCCCAACAGCAATAGGATCTGTATACTCAGCGAAACACGCAAACTTCATTGCTAAATGTTTTTTAAAAGATTCTTCTAACTGGCCGTTGAAAAAACCATCGAGATTGGAACTCCAAGCTCGTCCAACACTTGCAATGCCTAAAGAACAAAGTAAATAACTAAGAAAATGTTTTTAGTATATATATATATATATATATATATATATATATATATATATATATATATATCAAAACAATTTCATAATCATCAATAATATTGGAGATAAAAATTTTAAGATAACTAGATTTAACTGATATTAATGATAAAACTTTCTTTCAAATAACTTGGTTTATTTGAAATTCATTCTGTTAACGTAAACTAGGAAACTTTCACTGAACGCATTAAACACAGATAAAGGAAAAAAATTTAGGGGTACTTTGGAAATACGAAAACATTTGTGCTTTTGTCACAAGAAGAAATAACTGTCTACTCGATTGGCCGTTAACCTTCTACATCACTCATCATTTATTTTAATTTTACTTAAAACAATGGATTTATGGAAACTATAATGACAATGTTTTGAAAAAAAACATAAGTATAGAAACATTTCAAATTAGGCAGGCAAGGGTGTATTTTTTCTTTTATTAGAAGTTCATCTCAACATTCATCAAAAAAATAAAACGCAGCAAGAGGAACACCAGAAACTATGATTCATGAAGTCACAAGTCTCCAAGTCAGAGGATTTCTGCAACCCAATTTCGGAAGATAAGTCTTGTAACAAGTTTTCCATTCAGCTCAACTTTCAGTAATTACAAACAATAATTGACCAGTTATCTAATTTTAGAACCCAATGTCAGATCTATAAAACAATGACCAGTATAATAACGCATGATTCAAAGTTCATATTATCTTTTTAAACTATTGGAGATAATAGAAGATGGTGATAAAGCCAACCGACTAGTAACCTACATTACTTTCTTATACTTGTCGCCAAGCATCATAATAACTGAATTATGAACTGGGGATAAATTTCTTGAATATCCATTTCACTGTGCGCATTTTCCAGAAGTTCGAGTTATTCTTCAAGCTTCTCCCAATTACAAAGAGAGTTTATTCAACCACGACTTAGCGAAATGTTGAACGGAATCTCTTGAAACTAATATGGATATCATCCTTTGTATCTTTAATATAAATATCACTATGTTTTTAAACCTATTGTGTGTTATGTTCCAAAATCTATGGAATTAGACCTAATATCATGTTCAAGTTCCATCGTACGCAGCTTAATTTTACATTACTGTTCTACTATTTTCACCTATCCTGGTTTAGATGAAGAAAGACAATATTAGCCTGATAATTAAATATAAATAGAAATGTAATTGAAGACGTCCTACTATCGTTAGTAACCTGTTGGTAGACCCCACCTGTCCATGTGATGCCCCGGAGATCTGATAACACAGATCTTACTGCCGAAAACATTGACAATAACGTGCCCGATATACAGTATTTGGTTTTGAGTATAGATTAATAGAAAACTACCGCTACACTTTACTAGTATTGATTTCCACTTTATTTTACCACCTTTCCTATCGTGATATGACGTTACCCGATGTTCCCACTTTCGCAACAAAGAAAAATTAATGTCAGAAAAAATCCATGGCTAATGTAAAATCATTATATGAGCATACCGATCACATATTCTAGTATTAAATTCCAACCAATTGTAAATGCCATCAGTTCTCCAACAGCTATATAGCTGTATACATAAGCTGATCCACTTTGTGGCACACGGGCTCCAAACTCGGCATAGCATAGTCCTTTACAAAAAGAACAAAATATCTGATAAATACTTTGTTAAATAAAGACCACTTCACTACAGAAGGTTGGGATCCCTGATGCATTAACAGAATCTTACATCGTGAAAGTTCTATTCCGATGTTACTTTTATAATGTATATCCTATTTGAAGTGATGTTTTCAAGAGTTGGTTCAAATCTAGATGAAATTTTCAGTATAAACATTTACGTCAGATATCCTGTCTATTTACATATACAAAGACATAAACTTATGACGTAAAATTGATATCCAGACAATTAAAAGTAGTGAAATGGTTTTAATCCTACTTAAAATGCTTAACAAGTAATTCACTAAACTAATACAGCATTCGACGATTTTAATGAGATTTTAACATTTACAGAGTATAGTCTGATTATTAAGGTTCGCACACTGCAATAAAAAATACCAGCTACAGTTAGCTCCTACTGTTTGTTTCCCACTGGTCATCATTGATCTTATACACTCATTATACTATTGATGAGGACATCGGGATCACTGACAACGTTACCGACAGCTATGATGGGAAAATTGAGTTCTTGATTCAGGAATAGTATGAATCACTTTTAGTTTCAGCATACATTATGTCGAAGAATATCACTAAACAAAATTGCTAGACTTTTGTTTACCGCTTTCAATCATTTCACTGCAAAGCATCTGTTTTTCACTCAATACAAAGCGACATAAACATTTAAGTTAGTCAAGAGTTGGACTGATCGATAGTTTATGGGTTGTATTTTCACGAGTACGGTGGTCCCATCCGAGTCAAACAGATTATATTTTAATTTTGTTTACTTATTGCTCAGAAATGTCTACACAACTGTGCACTAAATAAATATGCACTGTAATAATATGGCAATTAAGCTGTAAAGAAATAAGGTAAGAAGTGTAACCAAAACCAGATAAGTGAATCAAGATGCTTGAACAATAGTAATATATAATGGCAAGAACATGTAAGTTAACGCAAAACTAGAAACATTTCTATTAACTAGCTAAGTTTCTTGCATTTTCCTATAAAGGAAAGCGACAATGGGTTTGCCATTAACGTTTGTTCCAAACTATGATTGACGGTTTCTAAAAGCACTGAATTACACTATATCTTGGACCTTAATCAGGGAGTTATGATTGAGCAACAGATGACATTAAGGTGCGGACTTCTTGCATGCAATGTCACTATCATAAAATAACCATGTCTCCAATTATCTTGACTAGTTACAGTATCTACTAATAATGAATGTTGTGAAAGTCAGTGAAACGACATTCATAACATGTGTTCAAGCCATCAAAGTGGCTATTTCAGGTAAGTGAAACTAAATGAGTTATCGTCACTGTGAACAAATAAACATTATTGGACATCAGTATTACTAACACAGAGTTTTCATTAAATGTGAGCCATTCTTCAAAAAACATCCTGAACCTAGGAAGACTAGGCGTTGCAATCATGCAGTGTAGCTGGTTTCACCACTGAGTTATTAGTCCTAAGTTTCAAACGAGACTAACATCACAAAGACGTCAAAAAACAGTTGTCATTGGAATAAGAGTCTCTGGCTCTTATGATGCACACTTGATCTCAACTGACATTTTACCAGTAAGATTCACACAACTGTCAGCGTACACAAACTTTTCGGTGACTTCTCACTAGTTACTGGCACATGATTTTTCTAGTCTTTGGAAAGTAATTCCAGTTTAGAAAGTGTAAAGTACATGCCATATATACAGATAATGATTACCAATCGACTAAGCTTAGATTGTAGACCTTGAGAACAATGCCAAACTAAGACAGTGTTATTAGCATATTTAAAGATGAAAAGTCTCTCCTCAGATAACAGATCAACACTATCACTATCTGTTTCCATAAGAATTGTCTTCAGAATATTATTGAAGTCGGAAGGGAGCTCGTAAATATTCTAAAATCGCTCGGCCAGTTCCATGATCAGGAGCTAATCACCATTCTTGCAGAGATCCATAAGGTTGGTTACTGATAGCACTTCAAAAGTTGGTTTCTTTCGAGAAACTCCACCTCTACGTGAATCAGTCTTCATCTTTCATAGAAGAATGGACAGTCAGGTCGACATTGCTGAGGACACAGACCAAATGGACTGTTTCCCAAAAACTGGTTATTGTACAATATGTCACTGGATGTTGCTGGCAGGTATTCTATCAAACTCAGAGATTGTTTCATTCATATTATAGTTCTTTTGGTCAGTGAAAATCAAATCAAGAAAAAATAGAGTACTGTTTCAGTCGATTAGTCTTTCATCTCACTCCCGTTGCTAGTCTATCCGGTGACAGAATAGTTCTCTTCCCTCTGCCAAGGCCGTCTAGTCACAACAAAACTCACGTACTTCCAGTCTCAAGGTTAGACAGATAGCCTATCATTTCGAGGCCTTTTAAACTGAACTGAAACAAATTTTTTTCCTGTTAATTAAAGACAGGTAGTTCAAGGATGTAACACTATATTTATTGCTTATCTTCTATGTTTTCGAATATTCGTGCGTCTATTAAATCATTTCCAATAAATCAAGCTAATTGCTTTGAAGAATTGATTATGTCAAGCCTTGCTTCTGTATAACTACAAATTATGAGGTGCTGTACAAGCTGTGGTTGAATCACTCAGAATACACTCATGGAGATTACGAGAATTATCACTATACTTTGATTTTAAATATCATTGATGAAAGTTAGCTAAGGTTCCGTCAGAGCTAAACAAAGATTGCCAAAAGCTGGTATTTTGCATCCATTCTGAAAGTATTCTGATAGCACCTGGGTACTAAATCTGGAATAGTAATTAAAACATCTACGTAAAAAGAAATATCACGACCTAAAATCTTACCAGTTATTACTCTAGGAAACAGTTACGAAGCTGTACTGATAAAGTTTTGGCAAGTTTGATTATAGATTTAAAATTAGGACTAGCATGTTTACAATTTTTGTTGAAACTGATTTATAAGTGCTGTTAAACTGTGATTCTCATGAAGAAATTTTTTATTGACAGGCATTATTAAATTTACATAAAAGTTGATAACTGTGTGGAAACTCAAAATAATAGTCAAAGAAGACTTGAAATGTACTTAGCTGAAGGAGAACCTCCAGAAAGCACGAAAGAGAACACATTTTAAGATGTTGATGTCGCAAGGCTAGTTTCTAGACGAGACAGTTTCAAAATCAGTTGTGCTAACACATAATCTTTTATTTTAAAGTTCTCATAAATTTCTGTTTTCAGTAACGGATTGCCAGCATTCACTTATTTATTTTCTAAGATATCCCTTAAACTAATACTCAGTAGTTAGTTGGAATTGAAGAAAGTGATTGGGCTTTCGAAAGCCAAATTATAAGGCATCATATCCATTGGTTTAATTAGATTCCCATGATTTAATCGTACTAAACTTTTCTCTCGAAATGGACGTTACAACGTTAGCTGTAGAATACCAAAAATCATTACTTATAACTAACATTATAAAAGATGCTTTAAACAGTGCTGCTCGTAAAAACGGATTTTTAGTGATCACTTACATGATAAACTGAAACTCTAATGAAGAGTAACTTGTTTTTACCTAATTACCATATTAAATTACTAAAAAACAAACAGGTTGTCAGTATCCCATCTGTCGACCCCACTCGTTTTACTTTGATAGTGAAGAGTAAACTCTGCAAAATAAGAAGATTTAGGGTTATTTGCTAATTACTTGCAGTATGGCACACATTTGTTTCCTACGTGTTTGCTGTAAAACAGCCGAATTTAAGGCAACTATCAAAATAAGGCTTGGTATTTTCCGACCGCTTGATTAAATCTACCACCCAAAAACAAAAATCATTAACCATTCAGTAAAATATGATAAATTAGTTGGATAAATACTCATATTGCTTGGAAGTATACTCGCATACATGTAAAACATTTTCAAATCTCATGTATAATTTAAGTCTGCCTTATGAATGAGAGAGAATTCGAAGGATGTATTACAATAAATTTGCAATTCTCGACAGCGTAGTTTTACACAGAAACATTTGCCGTTTAATTTATGTCACACCGCCAAATTGAAAACTTTATAGAAATAAGCACTATTTGATATTTTAATGATTTCCAGGCATGATTTGATGACACTTGCAGAGCGAACAGTAAAGTATTCATACGCAAAACATAGGTCTGGTTAGCAAACGGGTATCTCGCCTTCGCCATAAGTGACGCAGGTTGGCAAAAGCTAATAGGGATTTCTGTATCCGTACTGAGATTTAACCACAAACAAGGCCATCAGCGCTGATGAAACTCCAGAGATGATTTAAGTCGTCGACACACTCGACTACTTCAATCCCTATCACCGGTTGAAGAGCCGACGAAACTCAATCTTGAAGCAACATTTTGCATTTCAATGGGGAAAACCGCATCCCGGATATGCTTGCATTTTTGCTCAGGGTAGTCAGAAGACTGCATTTTGTCAGTGTCTTCATTAAATAGAACTATGTCATCGGCATATTCGAAGTCAATAAGCGAGCCTCCTGGTAGAAGGTCTACTCCTGAAAATTCAGACTAGGGTTAGGTTATATCTAGGAGCATGTCTATGACAAAATTAAATAAGAATGGGGAAAATGGACAACCATGGTGGACACCATTTGAAGTAAAGATTTCCGATGATAGTTCATCATAGGCTCCCACTCAACCAGTGGCATTCGAGTAGAGACCTTGTATAAGGTTAATGTACTTCTTTGGAACACCTTTCAATGACAGGCACTGCCAGAAAACCTCACGATTGACAGAGTCAAACGCCGCCTTAAGGTCCAGAAAGACAACTATTTTAGGACGCCCAAATGTTTGTCTGTGTTCCAGGACGTGTCGTAGAGTAACAATGTGGTCTGCACAGCCACGTTCGGGTCTGAAACAAGCCTCGTTTTCTCTAGGTTGCTCTTTATGAGCTCTAGTTAGTCGTCTAAGGATAATCGAGGCTAACAATTTAGAAACTATATTAGTTAGACTGATTCTTCTGTGACTGTTACAAGGCGGTTTTCGTCCTCTTTTGTAGACTGGGACAATCAGTGATTGAGACCAGTCAGATGGTATTACGCCCAGTTCCCAAATTCTACCTAAGATCTCAGTCAACCTAGCTGCTAAAGCTGGACCATCATCCTTAAAAATCTCAGGAGCTAGCCTATTAGGACCTGCTACTCTACCTCGGTCTAGATTTCCCATAGCTTTCTCAACTCCATAAAGATTAGGAGGACTTATATTGATTTGCCATTCAGGACACACACTAAGAAAAGCACCCAACTGCGTCACAAGACAAGCCCTCACATGAAACCCTCAAGGTAAAAAGAAAATAGGAAGACCAAAGAACAAAATACATCAAGAAATGGAGACATACATGGGAAGAAGGAACAAACATTGAACAGAACGGGAAAGGGAAACCCAGGACAGAGTTGGTTTGAGGAAACTGGTTGGCGGCTTTGCTCCATCGGGGGTAACAGCCGTAAGTAAGTAAGTCAGTTCTGCATAAAGCAGATTTTTTAAGACAGAAAACTTTCTTTCATTCTAATCCTTTATTTCTAATGAAGAAGACTTTAGTTGTTTTGCTATCAGGACTAGTACTAAAAACGGAAATTCGAATTCAATATTTGATTTTCAATAAAGCAGATCTAATTATCATCACACTGTACGTTATACCTTTAGAATGATCAACCTCAACAGCTTATTGAAAAATGATCATAGCATTAGTTGAAAGGTGTTCGTACCAATCCCCTAATTTTTATCGATGCGGCTGTAAGCCGCTGAAAAATGAATTTGTCTCCCATCGCTTCGGCGATAGGAACAACTAATGACAAAAACCCAGTTTTTGATATACCAACCTGATTGAAGCCAAAATGTGAACGTATGCAATCTACCAGCTTTGAGAGAATTCTGATAAAACTTTTGAAAAATTTCGGGTTGCTAACAAAATGAACTTTAAGGGATCGCAATCGAAATCCCCAAAATTTCCGTTGACATTGTGGGAAATCCCTAAACATTTCGAGGGAAACAGAGGATTTTCTTAAACTTTTCACTATCATTGTGGAAGAAAACTATCTTAAAACTATCGTGGTGGCAGCCCTAAATCCCTATATGTATCTGAAAATAAATTTCTGTAAAGACTTATGCGGGTAAAAAAGGAGCAGGTAAGTAAGTCTATAGGAAGTCCCTTTATAAAACTCTCAATAGATATTTTTTGTTTATAATAAATGAGTATTAAGGTTAATTACGCTAGTACGTATCTTAAATGGGCTTGCTAGAAAATAATTTCTTAATTGTCATAAATTACAAGGTTGTTGATATTCAAAAGTTTTAGAGAAATTACCTGACAGAACAGAAGCTACTGCTGCAATTAAAAACGATAGTATAACTGCAGGACCAGCTGTATACTTAGCAACGTCGCCAACAAGAATATACACTCCGGCACCCAAAGTCGTGCCAACACCTAAAATGAGTGTGTTACGGAAACTACATAAAATACCTAAAGCAGTAAGATCAAAAACAGTAAGACATCTTCGTAACTCTTGCTTTGGCGATCCACTGCTTTCAATAGTCTTTTTCCTGCTGAAGCTTCTCAAAACCTCCTTAGTTGTTTGTGCACATGAACTCATTATAGAAAATTGAAAACGTGCCGCTTTTAGGGATATATATTCAATATCCAATCCATCCTTCACGAGCTAGTATAAACTAATTGATTCCTTTGAGATAGATTCTTGTTCTTTCGGTACGGTTCCAGGTATCTGGTAGTCCCTAATGTATGGGGTTCTAGTCACTCGACTGCCCTAATTCTAGCTGGTTGGCAATTTTCTGTGAGTATGTATGTCCCGTGTTTTGAGTGAGTGCGTTGGTCTTAGGGTAGTAGAATTTCTGGATACCGACAGCTAGGCCGGGGATCAGTTAGTTGCATTCTGGAGAATAATTAAGAGAACATCCAAATGCTAATGAGATTTTAGAATTAAATAATTTAGGTAATGGGCTGTGTAGATAATGTGTGAGGATCAAAGTGTAAGGAAATGCGAGGTAACACAGATGGTAATTAGTGAGGTAGAATAAGTTTTTCATGCGAGGAATTAATGATGATGACAAAAAACAAGTTTAGAGAAGTGGACCAGGTACAGCTGGTTCGAGAGTGAGATGAGAATCCTTTTGTAAGTATTTGTTTGTCAAGATTCCTCTTGGAGATTTCCAACACAGTGGTCATGACCCTCTTAGCTTGAAGAGCATTCCAGGTATGAACAACTCCTAACTAGTAATAGTGAGCTCGTACCCGGGCATTTGCTCTTTGGCGAGTAAATTTTTTAAGGTAACCTTAACGGAAGTCGTGATGACATTTGATTCCATCTTGATATGGAAAATATTTTTATTCTCAGGTACCGAACTCTGATTTACATAACATCCTTTTCGCAATACGAAGCTATGATTGCAAACCGCAGGTTTTACCGTTTTAGATTTTCTGCAATCTTGATGTGATTTGCTTCTCTTAAGTTATAACCCTTTGCATTAATGTTTGTAGATATTGGTTTAACTGTAGCCCACTCAGAAAATTGATTTCTTATCTTCGCTGAAGTACAAACAGTGTTGCTAGGTTCCACTATCCCGAACTTACAAAATACCATCAGTTCAGCTAACTTCTTATATTCTTAGCACCTTGTTAGTAGGTCAAAAGCCACTTATTAAACCACCGGGAAACGAATGGCTGCTCTAAATAGTATCGAAGACTATCCGTTTTATACAATATGAAGAATACATTCAACAGAAGGGTCATTACAACTGCATCTAACAAAATCCTTGATAACTGCTACTAGGAAAGCTGAAGTGCATAAAACGACTGAAATCTACTCGAATACTGTATGCAGAGAGGGATGAGCAATCAAAACAGCTATTTCTAATAGATTCATTATCTCAAAGTCATTCGATTTTCATTAAGATATAGATAACATAATTAACAGGTAATATTTAAGCGTTAACATCAACAATAGCAAAGTCAAGGGCACGACAAATTTTAACAGACACTGAAATAGATTTTTGGGCGTTAGGTCCTCCGAAGAAGAGGGCATAAAACTTTACAACTACTAACGGCAGATAGACAATATAATGGCTGCTAGCTGTATAGCTTGTAAGAACATCTAAAAAGTACATCCAGGTTTCTGGTAAAATAATTTAATAAACATGAATAAGGAGGGCTTGTACTGATTAGATATGCATAGTCCAACCACTCGGTGTGGAAAATGTTTTTGAGGTTGAACTTCATTCAACGGTCAGTATGAATAGTAGCAGATTACGTTCGAGACAATTCTTATGCTTCATATATCTTATGCTTATAAGCATTGTTAGATGTCTGCAAATCGTGTGTAAATTTTGGATATATATATATATATATATATATATATATATATATATATATATATATACGTCTACGAACCATTTAAGTTCGGGTCCCAGGCGGTATCCGAAAATCTCATGTTAAAATAGAGGAGAAGAGATCGTTCACATGAAGCAAGTGTGTTTGCTATCTATTTTGGGGTACTGAAAGAATACTGAAACGTGTTACAGAAACGGGTGAAGGTACAGAGCAGCAAAAGAAAGATGGTGACCTCCCAGTAGGAGTGATACAAAAGCACGAATAAACAAAATGTTCTGTAAAACGTTCGCTGGTATGATTGATTGGAAGATTGAATGCTTTTATATTTAGTCAATCGTTGTTTCATCGTGGAATTGAAATCACTACAAACTGAAAACACATCGGTCGGGTTTAATGAGGTCTTAATCATAAGGCTTCAAAATATGGATTGTGTATAATAGGTGAACATGCGGCGGGGGGGGGGCTGGTCAGCCAAGAAACGACCAATGAAGCCCGCGTTGTTATCGAAAGTCTTTTACGCTGAACGATACCAGTAGTAACGTGCCAGGTTTGTTGCTTAGGTCGGCGTGTTACCGGCGTCGCTCGTATCCGCAGTCTGACAGTTGAGTTTGTAGGGGTTCTGACCACAAAAAGCTGCAGATGTAGGACGGAACAAGATTGAGCAAGGGGGCCAGAAACGATCAGAACGACCATGTTCGAAATCATGAGTATGCCAGATACATTCGGAACCAGAACATCGACAAGTTGCGTCAACAAGAGCGCGGGTGATCAAGCCAGCTTTCGAAAAGATTGACTTAAGTTGACGGTACCAACAGGGTGACGGTCGTAGACATGGGCTCAGGATACACGATAAAGAAAAAGAGGAAGCTGTAGCATTTATGTAGTATGAGTGTAATGTTACCCGAGTGGTTATTCGAGTAAATGTGCAGGTAGGCGTACGTGGCTACCGGAATGCGGGACGGAAGCCTCCTGCGTACCTCGTGAACCTGCAACCTCACCCATAGTCAAGGAACTCGTGATCTGCTGATCTCGACATGAGACCGGAGTCTAATCCGTAGATAGGGCAGATGACGAGTGCTGTTGACAGGGACGTGATAATGAGGTCTCTGAAGTATCTAGCGTTGGGTCCAAAGTAGATGTAGGGATCCCGCTAGTAGGTTTGATAGGTCTAGCATTGGGTCTCGAGTTAGCAAGTAGGGTGCTGGCTTTAGAATATCAATACTGACGGTCCCCACGCGGCCATGTCGAGCAACCTTGAATGTCTTTTCATGACGAGAAATCAAGTTAAAAGGTCCTTCTCAAGGCTGCTGCAAAGGTTTGCGTACCGAATCGACTCGTATGAAAACATGTGAGCAGGTAGATAAGTCTCGAGGGAGAGCGACCTGTTGATGTTGTACTCGAGTTGACACCGGATGCAAAGTTCACATGAATTCAGACAATCGTTGGACGTAGTCTGATTTATTAAGGTTAGTACTGCTCTGTGGTATGAAAAAATCTCCAGGCAGACGCAATGTCGTGCCGTATACCAATTCAGCGGTGGAGCATCGAACATCTTCCTTTAAGCTCGTTCTGATAACTAGGAGAACGAGTGATAAGGTTTCGTACCAATCTTTTGAAACGATCGATGCACGTATGTGATCATATCCATGTTTGACGGCATGGTAGGCTGTTAGCAGTTCGCGACCAAAAGCGTTATATCTCGTCTCAGCGGGAGTAAGGCGTCGTGAGAAAAGTTCGAGAGGTATAAGTTAAGTAAACCGAGAAAAGTCTTCAATTTCTTGAGTGAGGACGGTGCAGTGTACTCCATGATTGCAAGTACTTTATCTTCATAGGGTAAAATACCCTCTTGCCTAATGATGTAACGTTAGAATTTTATTTTTGCTTTCCCACATGAGACTAGTCGTGGTAGACTATTATTCCATTATCCGAAAGGCGTTGGAATATTAGTGTAGGATGTTGATAATGTTCATTTACGTCTGATGATGCAATGCAGGTCATCAGTATGGACATGAACAAAAGGAAAGTCTTGTACTATGCTATCGATAACCTTTGGAAAGTTTGAGCAGCATTCCTTAATCCAAATGGCATTTGTAGGAACTCAAAAAGACCGAAAGGAATCGTGATAGTAGTTTTCTCGATGTCCTCAAGAGCGACTGGGATCTGATAATATGCTCGTACCAGATCAATCACAGAATAGATGGTCGCGCTCTCAAGAGATGCCGTGATGTCGTGTATGTGGGGGATGGGATAGTTATCAAAACATGTTGCTCCATTTGATGCTCGGTAGTTGCCACATGGTAGCCAACTTATCCCATTCTTTTTGCCAACCATGTGGAGTGATGAGTCCCAGGGACTGTGAGAAGGACGAATAATACCTGTAGCTAGCAGATTGTCAAACTCATGTTTAGCGAAAGCTAATTTGTCCAGTCGTGTCACGTCGTGCCGTGACTATTGGTCCGCGGGTGAAGATGTGGTGTACCACATGATGAGTCACTGGTAGATTCTCCTCGAGTGGTTTAGTTAGCTGGGGAAACTTTTCGAGTCATCATGCGAATGAAATACCCCTGGAATACGGTACGCACCTGTTTGAGCTCGAAAGCCCATAAATTTGCTGTTCGATGAGGTATCGATTAAATGCAGCCTACGTGAATCGACTAGCGATTCACAGTGCTGTAGGAAATCGATACCGAGTATGGCTGTGAGAACATCAGCAATGATGAAAGTCCACAGATACTGTCGTCGGTTGCCCAGGTTGACCGTTGTATGTCGTGTACAACATGTAGGAATGACAGAGCCATTCGCAGCGCGTAGTCGAAGCATCATAGGTTGAGACTTGCTACTACCAAGTGGTACGACAGAAACTTGGGCACCTGTGTCAACTAGGTATCTAACCTTGGTGCAGATATCTTGCACGTTAACTTGGCGGCCAACCTGAGGTGAAGGGCCGTCGAGTACGGCCACGTTCAACGGTCACTTTGGGAGTTTCCTTCCTCGTATGAGCAGGGGGCTCGACAATGACGGGTGCTGGACATAAAAGCTTGGTGGAAGCAGCACCAGCCAGCACTCGCTTCCACCGCCGCCTTTTGGCGTGGCTCGGAAGATGCCCGCTGTGAGCGGTTACTTTCAGCCTTTCGTGATCGAGATCGGGCTTGGAGGACGTTGGGTGCTGGAATAAAAGAAAGATCTCGAAATTTGGGACGGCTGTGGATCCAGCAACCCCGATCTCCTTAAACCTGAGGGTGACTAGCTTCGAGGTCAACATTTGTGTGCGACTACTACTACTACTACCACTATTATTA